TATACCACATACAGTGGCGTAACTAGTGACCTCAGGGCCCCATGCAAGAATCCCATGAAGGCGCCCCCCCCCCCCCAAGAAGACACAAATTAGAATTATTTTTTTTTAAACAAAATTAGACAAGGAAAGAAAAAAAAAAAAACACTGTCCTCTTTCATCTCCCCCTTCATGTCCCCAGCGACCCCATGTCACCTTTGTTGATACTTCCAGCTCCCTGTCTCGGTCTCCCCCTTCGTGTCCGCAGCACTCGGCACTCGGCGGCAGTTCTGTGTGATGAGGGGGCGGGGATTACACCGCTCCCTCTCATTGGCTGCTGCCCGGCTGGATGATGCTTCACGCTGCGCCCGGAACAAGATGAGGGGAGCAGCGTGAAGCATGTAGGGCCCAGGACGGGAGGAAGAGGTCCCGGGACTGGTAATCAGCGGTCACCAGTGGCCCCTTCCTCCTGTCCTGGGCCCCCTCCAAGTGGCCGAACTGCAGGGCCCGGTCGCGACCTCTGCGACCCTGGTAGTTCCGCCACTGAACACATATGATTCTGATGACTTCATATAACAACAGATCATTGTATGTGGCAAAAACCCTCTGCACCCTATAAAGGAGTTTGTCTGACATGCACTGGACAGTGGGTAAGCACAGGGTAAAAATTGTCCATGAACAAATACACTGTTAAAGAGCCATTTACCTCATGCTCCAAAAAAAGGGCTTTGAGCTGTCCTTTCGACCAGTAATCCATGGCATAAGATAGCAGCTTCATTGAAACCATGTTAATTCGTAGAAAGTTCCCCACAAATAATACTCTGTCAATGTTCTACAAGTGCAGAGCAACACAGATATGATTATACAGAAATTATTATTTCCAGAGTACCTTACAGAATCCTTAACATAGGCATGCATGTTATCATGTAGGACTACAAAGACTGATACTGAAAAAAATATACACAGACTTTATAAACACACAAAAAAAAGTGATTAAGAGAAAAACCTGGGACTAGGGATTATGAACCAACAGATGAAAATAGGGTTTTAAAAATGAATCTTCTATTTCACACAGCAAACAATAGGACAATGATAAAACAAGCAACAGTATTGTAATAATGCATGAGGGCAAGGTAACACTGTAGAAAGAACATCCAGAAAGAACAACGGCTTCCCTACTTTTTTGGATACAATGTCAGTCTAGTCCTCAATTCTAAACACCAATATTCCCTAAGGAGATGGCTCAAGAAAAGTGTCCCAGAGCAGAAATGTCTTTTTAACCCAGCATAGTATCAGTGAATGCCACACTTAGTGGGTTTTTAAAAGCACCACATGACTTATAATGAACTAAAAAAACAAACTATCTTTTGATAATGGGGGACACTATCAATTCTGTTGCACAGCAAGCTAATGCTAAACAGAAGCACTGAGACAAATTTATTAGACAGCTTCATTGATTATTTTTATCAAATTATCTGATAAACACTTAATAAAAATGTATAAATATAAACGAATATGAATTGCTGCACAGACTTACAGTAGATAATCAATAATGAAAGTTAAGAAAGCATACTGTGCTACTTAAAAAAAAAAGTGATAATGGGTCATTATGATCTAGAAAAACCATGTTCACTTCAAATATGCATTAGGCTTAATAACAACTTGGAAAAAAAAATGAAGTTCACAGAGTGTTTGAGACAAAATGATCAACTTGCATGTACTAAAACAAAAGCAACAAAACAAACCTATCCTGTTCTGATTTTTTCAGCCAAATCCGTCCAACTGACACATGAGCAGATTGGTGATATTGAACATGCAAGGAAAATGTGTAGGTGCCCAATACATCATTCTTTCCCCACAAGTGTTTGACCACAACCAATATGACATTGCAGCTTCAGAGCCCCCATACTTCCTGCTTATTTGGGACTGGTTAAAGTTGTTTGGATTGTCTCCCCTCCAACTGCCATCTTAAGTTAGGAAGTAAGCAATGGACTAGGAACCAGTTGGGTCCAGTGGTTTTAGTGCTTCACTGGAGGTGGAGAGGTTTGTCATTGAGACAAGAGGCAGATTAACACTCAGCTACACCAACTGCTACTCTGGTTGTCTTTGTACAGTGGTGTGTGTGTGTGTGTGTGTGTGTGTGTGTGTGTGTGTGTGTGTACGTCACGGACCCTACGGCGGTGACAAGTGTTCACAAGTAAAAGTGTGTATGTTGGTGGGTGTGTGTGTGTGTGTGTGTGTGTGTGTGTGTGTGTGTGTTGGCAGCACACCACTTCTGCTTTGCTTTATTTTAAAGTGTAAAACTGGTCAAAAACACTAAAAAACAGAAATCCAATGAAAAAAAGATGGATGTAGAATGTTGGCTTTGTAGTTGATGTAATGACATCAGTGGAGGAGGCACTTGATGTGCAGCCATTGCAACTCAATGATAAAAGCGTTGGAGGGCTTAATGCCCCAATACGCCTAGACTGCACCAGACAAAGATTTTTCAGGGTTGGGCAAAATTCAAGAAATACAACATTTAGAACAACAACAAAAAAAATATTAAAAAGGTCAATACAAAGCAAAAAGACAGGAGTTCTCTTGCGGGATTCTGCTGCAGTTCTTCGTGCTTTGATAGCCCTGTACAATGCTGCTTGAACCCCATGCCACAAGGCAACACTGTAAAGAAGCTGAAAGCAGGAAGAGCATATCATATTGCTGGCGTGGTGTACACCAAAAGTGTTTCCCAGTGGATGAAAACATTTACCATCTGAATTTTAACATAAATATCAGTGTACAGAATTATTTTTCACAAATACGTCTATACTCCTATCAACACATTCCTTTAGATAATGCCAAATACCCTGCATTCATGGATTATTTACATTTTTTAAAGATTATCACGGTGTGTTAATTGTGACCTACTTCAGCATTCACCAAAGTCCTTGTATGTGTACCATTAACTGGGATCCTTGGAGAACATTCCTTCCACCACCATTCCCTCCATCAAAGTTCTGTATGTGTACAGTAACCTGATGGAGGGTATAATGGGGGAAGTACTATATAGTGGAGTATCCCAATTTGCTGTACACATAGAGGAACCTTGATGAAGGGTATAGTAGGGGAAGGACCGGGGGTTTTTATTTTTGTTGCCGGTATCTAGCAGCTGGTATCTGCTCTCTCTCTCATGTCAGACAACCGCTATGCCCTGGTTGGCAATGTCTAGGCAGGGCTGGCTTGCTGCATCAGAAGAATGGCAAACTAGAAAATTACATAATGCTGGCGCCGTGCTCAACTCTGGACATGACGTCACTACGGCCAGGTGGGAGAAGATGCGCTGATCTAAAATCAGGGATTAGACTTTTTGCCAGTATGTTTGTATGTATATATCTTGTACTGTAGGTTCTCTGTTAATGTTAGGTGGGACTGGACTTGATACAAGGGTATAGTAGCCCCAAAATGTTGATTCCGCCTCCACCTCCATTGGGTGTCCTCTGCATGTATTCGGTATTAAATTGCTTTGTTCTACTGTTTATTTGCCCTGAATGACTACTAACTGCCTTTCTATATCATCTTATAGTAGTTTTAGTTAGCAATGATATGAATCATACAGCTCAGCAGGTATAGATTACATTCCAGACATAGTTACTTGTCTATATGTGTTTGTATTGCCATTGATTTAATAATACATCTATTTGAAATGCCTAAAAGTCTGGTGTGATCACTTATTATTTTAGTTGCCTTACACTTCAGCACCTCCCTAGGATTTTAACATGCAGGAAACATAAATCATATACATTGCTTACAGTAATAAAAATATTTGATTTTGGTTAACAAATAAACAGAAAAAATAGGTTTACAAACATAACACCAATGTTGTGTTTTGCATTTGGAATAATGCAGATTATGTAGAGAAATGCAGTTATTTTACTTTATAAAAAACACTATGCAGTGAAAAACATTATTAAACAAGCCACTTCACTCTCTTCAGTTTGTTCAGTTAAGATTTGAAAATGGAAGAGAAAAACTGATTGGTTGCCATGCACAGCTGCTCCAGATTTGGTCTGCTCCAGTTTAAAAAAAATTCCCCTCATAGTATTTAGAATTAAAGCAGAACACCGGCCACATATTGTATTAACCCTTGCAGTGGGGCTACCCCCAGCACTGTAAGGAGTAACTGCTCTTTTTCTGTCTAGGTTAAAATTGAAAGGTTATACTCACCTGATCTTTCTAGAGGTCTGACTCTTAGACCTATCCCTTCCGCCTTGCTCGCCCTGCACTGCTGTGGGGGGAGGTCCCGAGTCATCATGTTCTATAGAAAGTAGGGATACACCAATACCATTTTTCAAGAGTATGAGCACCGATACTTTTCCTCAAGTACTGGTATCTTTTTTGTGTGTCATGTGAGTTTTTCTAAAATAATACAGACTTATTATTTTAAGATAGCAGTAGAGCGCCAGGGCCCAGTTGCAGCTGCAAGTCTGGTAGTTCCGCCACTGACTCCAAGCCTTAGAGAGACTACAAATCCCAGCATTAGATTACATTATACAGCAAAGCAGAATACCACCAGCTTGAGAGGACTACAAATCCCAGGAATACATTGTCCAGCAATGCAGAATATTAGGCTTGATACTCTGTGTTGCTCACCAGTGCTAAGTGAGGTTTCACCAGGGCTGTGCGGTCTCACCAGGACTGTGTCTGGCATCTCAGGAGGTTTTTTTGGGTCTTGCAAGGAGGAGAAAGAGGAGGTGTGCAGCCGGTGCTGTAAACAGGCACTGCGAGATCCCCACCAAGCGCACGACCTTATGGCAGCCACTTCTATTTCATTTAAAGGGCTGGTATCAGCGCTTAGTATTGGGGCATTTTCACGAGAACTATAGGACGTGAGGATGCAGAAGGACATGCCATTGCTGCAGTGTAGGACGAGACAGGCTTCAGGCCGACCATCTCCAAGGATCGGTGAGTATATATATATATCTTTCTTTTTTTTAACCTAGACAAAAACAAGCAGTTAACCCTTGCAGTGTGGGGGTAGCCCCACTTGAAGGGTTAATCGAATTTGTGACGTTCTGCTTTAAGTTAAGTTTCGTTTTTTGCAGTAGTACATACATTTTTTCATATTTAGTTTATGTATAAGCAATTTCTATCTGATTTATTGCCATGCATTATAATTGCATTGAGTCATCTAGTTTCAGAGACAATATTTATCCCTGCAGTGTAACAAAGTTATTACTTAAGAATGGTTTACACTTAAAAATGTTTTGCATAATCAACATTAATTAAACTTCTAAAAGTCGCTGAAATTAATAATTGCAAGACCTGATTCTCACCTCATTAAGGGCACACATACGGGCAATTGACCCTATGTTATTTGTAATGGTAACCAGTGTAGCTCTTGCCAAGTCCTCCTTACTAATGGTGTCTCTTTTTTCTTTGCTCATCATATGGCCAAAACTTAGGTGAACAATGAAAGACAATAAAAAGCATTAAGTACTAGAAGTATTTCAGGTGCCAACTTATGCTTTTATGCACGGATACATATAACTTATACAGGTTATGTGGCTATTTACATGGGGGTTGCGTACGGGCTAGAGAGAGAACATAACATGAAAATACAACCTCTTCCATACTCCACTCTACTCCTTTGAAATAATGATAGCTTAGAAAAGAAGCTCTTGCATACTAATCCCCAGGATGTAAAAATCAAGTGACCAAATGCCAAGACATAAGATCATGTGAGACAAAAGTGGCAATCTCTACAGCTCTGGTAAGCTTTACATTTAAAAAACAAACAAACCAGAGAGCAGAGTAGTGTCATAAGGCCACTTTTGTGTACTGCCTGCTGGTGACACTGTGGCTTTAGCAGACTAGCAGGCTAAATTACTGAAGGTGTAGAGGATCTTTACTCAAGTTGTGTGGAAATTGACTTCCATTATCCAATAAGGTGAAAAATAAATTCATGTTTACTTATTACTGAAGTAAACATTCACATGATTTACTAAGTGAAGATTCTCAAAGCCTCTATGTAACATGTGGATCCTCTAACACATAACACTCTACTATTGATCACAATAGTTCTATACACACACACACACACGTTCTACCCCCCCCCCCCCCCCCCCCACAGCATCCAGATGCCCCAGCTTTCAGTTCATTTGCCTACTTCCTTGTTTGCTCTGGCCACCCAGACTCCCAGTCCTGTATGCTTACCTGCTTGTTCCTAACCCTGTTAAACCCTATTAGTTCCCGGCCCTACTAGTCCCAGGCTTGTACCTTCCCTAATTATCATGCACTTACCTTGCATCCACAGAGTGTATATTGTTTTCATTAATTAGCTTATACTATTGTGGGCTGCTATATTGTCTATAACTTTATCTCATTACTTATTCTTTGTATTTCATGGTATGGCTATTCCTGCACACAATCTTGTGATAGGTGGGGTTGTATTTTCTCAATAGATTGGCTATATTTATGGAACCTGAATAATTTAGATAAGTCAGTAATAAAAGGGAAGAGGAAACAATTCTGAAGAATACAGACTTTATAGTGATGTTTGCTGTAAACAGCTGAAAAGTAAAATATTCCCCTTGGGCTGTTAATTAGACATGACGACTGTCTGCACTACAAAAGCATGGCAGGGTCGTAAGTTTAGGGATGAACCTTGTTAGCTATTGTACATGGCTGGGTGGTTGGTAAGCATTAGGCTGCCTGGCTAGTTGTTCTCTTCATGGATGTGAATTATGTATCTGAAGGTTATGTGACCCTGAGCACTCCTGTTTAGCACTTACTGTAAGATGTAGGACATCTTTCTATTGAAGTACCGCCTACCCCTTTTTATTGACTGCTGCTTTTTATTCGTGCTGTAATTTGTTGCAGCTATTTAATTTTCTGTGGCAGCACAGTATGAGATGTACAGATTGATATTTTTCCTGTTTAGACGTGGGCAGCTGTACTCTGGCAGTGGCTAAGTAGGATATGAATCTGGCAGGTGGACTGCACCTTTTACAAAGTTATTATGACTAGCATACACATTTATTAACCTGTGTTTATCATCAACCATGTCAATTTCACACTGCTTAATCCTACAGGGTTTTTGAAGAATCAAACTGAGCATGTTGGTTCAGGACACCTTTTGCCCAGCCACCAACTAGCTCCTTTTAGGAGGATTCCAAGCCCCACTAGGAGATATAATACCAACAGGTTTTCTGAACCTGCTCCAGAATCTCCTACTACTTGTTGGTGCCCTATGATTCCACCAGCCCTAGCTCTAAGCCCCCATTCACGAGAAGTTGTCGGCCAATGCTATTCAATGGAGCTGTCTTAGCTCCATGTCGCCCGTCGCTGTCACTCCAGCAGGACCCTTTTTTCTGCGGATTTTGCACAATTTTTCGATTTTTTTTAATGGAGCCCGACGGTGAAGGTCGCGCTACCGTTGCTGGAACGTCACCCCGAAAGTCGCGGAATCCCGGCTGCGCGGATCCGCTGCAAAAGGTATGTCGCTTAGTATGAATGGGGCCTTAGCATGCAAGCATATAAAAGATGCCCAAACCACCCACAACAGATACATTTCTATATTGCCCTCCATGCTCCATTGAGAATCAGCCCTGAAATCCCCTGGAGAAACCAAATTTATGTCTTTTGCACCAGCAACCTTATGCTTTAGGTCAGTACTTACAGCTCATGAAAACAAAGACGCTATGTATGCCATGCTATGTAACAGTTATTATGTTACATAAAGCACTGCGGCCAACAGAAATATGTATGTGGGGTTCTTTTCTTATTCAACACTGCAACACCCTTGAATAACTTCAATTGGCTGTATTGTGACAGAGTAAGTTGTTGCTGCTTGTTTCATTCAGATGGCATATCAACATCCACCTCATATGTTGCATGCCAGTAGTTATGGTCAGAAGTTACGTTATGCACTTTTACAAACATATTGGTGATGGGTATTGGCTCTTTATATATATATTAAAATGTGTCCATACATTTTTTGCATATACAACTAGTGTTACTTTATAGTTATTACCTAGATGCAACAGCAGAACCTTGAAGACTGAAGCGTTCATAGTCCCCACCATAGATGTCTTTCACAAGCTTATCGACATTTGTACTGTCTCCTTTGGCAGCCATTTCCAAAGCCTCCTCGAATGTTTCACAACCCGTCAGCAAGCAGCACAGGCCAAGGAATGTTCCTCCTCCCAGACTGAAAAGATTAGGAAATAGTGTGAATAAAGGGCCCTATGCGGCTAGTTGAATTGTCACAAGCAAAGGAATAAAAAGTATCAATGGGCCATAAATGTTTGTACAATTTTCTGATGGAGCTGATTCTGCAGCTATACATGGACACTGCACTTTACAGGTTACAAGGACCACAATGAACTGTGCAAATTCAGGGATGTGCAGGGATGTAACTTATGTATGATGGGGAAAAAAAACAGGGCCCCCCTGCATCTCCATCCTAAAGGCAATTCCTCTAGGGCTATAAAATAGGAATGTCTTTCATAGAAATCATATAGGAGGTTCACACACAAAACTTTAAATTTGCAAATGCTTTTGCTGCATAAATCACTGTGTTTCCAGGAACTACTGGACGCCTAATTATTTCAGGTATCATGGTAGTAACAGGGTCTGCTACGGCTACCGGTATAATTACTTGGGATAAAACCCTTCTTCAACAAGTGCTCATGTTGATCATCCAGCAACTGATCATATAGGAGCATAGTCTGATTGGATTGAAAAATTGTTTCCATAGGCATTATGGACTAACACACTTCACCATCACGATGATTCTGTGTAATCTAAAGACAGCCAAGGAAATTATGACTGAGTAATTCTGTGAGGAGACCTAGTGCCCTGGTATTCTGACCACATGTATGCCAATGTTAAAAAGGAGAACTAGGAGGTGAGTGATTTTCACTCAACCTCATAGTTCGAGCCGACGTGTGACAATGAAACTGACGGCTCAATAGATCTGGAAGTGAGCGAACACATACCGTTGCTCACTTCTCGATCATGTCCCTGCAGAGAGCCGTGACTGTCACTCACGGCTCCCTGCAGGGATTCCCCCCCTCCCCGATCCTCAAGCGCTGACTGGCAGAACGGACGGGGGAGGGCACAGCTGGCTCTGCCTCTAGGTAGGCAGAGCCAGCTGTCAATCATACAGTAATGTCGAGATCCGTCCCAGGTGCAGCGGTCTCAGTATACCGCGAGCTGTAGCTTGCAGTATACTGAGCTTTGGGTCATGGGAGGACACTTGTTTATGTCCTCCCGTGAACCTTAGGAGAACTATAGGAGCACTGAACCCATAGTTCTCCTTTAAGGCAATTTTTCGAAGCTTTTGCCTCAGCAGTTCAATGTGAATCATCCACCACTGTTGCAAGTGACTTGATGCAAACAATTGCAGCGGAAAACCTTAGGAGAACTATAGGGGAAAAGCACTGAACCCATAGTTCTCCTTTAAGGCAATTTTTCGAAGCTTTTGCCTCAGCAGTTCAATGTGAATCATCCACCACTGTTGCAAGTGACTTGATGCAAACAATTGCAGCGGAAATTGATCAATTTAATCTGTTTTGTTGATCATTTAGTCGCACCAAGCTTGAAATGCACTGAAACAATGTGTAGCAGATTGCTATGCACCATTCTATTCCACTTTTACAAAAAGCAGCAGTGCCATGGTCATGGTCCATGGTCATGGTTAGAGGGCCATGAAGTCTGGAGCGGAGATATACCCTAAAAGGTTCACAGATAAAAGATCTACATTATGATAAAGTGAGCTTTAAATTATCAGGAAGCAGATCTACATGTGAAAATGCAAGTATACCCACAAAAGTAGGAGCAGGGGAAGCTTGACTAAGTGTACACACAAGTATTCCCATTAACCTGCACTTCATATGGTTCTTGTTTGGGGTGTTATGAAAATCATGGTTGTGCTTGGAGGTAAAGTGGTGATCACTGTTGTTTAGAATAGTCACCTGACAAAGCAGTTACATAAAACTAGTTTTTCAATAAACCTTCTACCATGCCAGTCAAGGTACATTGGTCCATAGAGTCAAACTGTTATACTGTGTCAAAACACTGTTGCTATCGAAGAAAATAAAATGAGGTTAAAGCTATCTGACCAGAGTCACTCAAGTCACAGAATTCTCCTGGTCATGAAGCAGAATGTGTGTGACCATTGATGCGTTTGCCCTTTACTAATTCTTTATAGTCCTTGATACACCTCAATAGGTAATAGTTCATACAAGATTAGATACCTGGTCCCAGTTACTCTCTTATAGTTGTCTTTAGAATATACTGTAAGGATGCTGACTCCTGACCCTATATTAACCAGCAACATAGGGTAAGGATTATCAAGGCAATATGGTTTCTTCTGACACTGCTCTGTGTCAGTTGGGTTTTCAAAATAATAACACTCTGGTCGTCCATTAAATCCCACTGAGTCCATGTAGAGAAGGCCCTGGATTAAGCAGTCCAGTTCATCCAGTTTATGAAGCTGAAGGTCAGCTATCTAGAGAGAGAGAGAGAAAGAGAGTGAAACATTAAGTTAATGAATAAGCAGGTGAAAGTAGAGCAGAGGAGACAATTTCTCCAAATACAAGGGCAAAGAGCTATCTGACAGCACTTTGCTCTCCTGTACATATTAGATATTGCATAACAAGAACACATATAAAACAGAGTACATCATGAAATTAATGACTTCGGGCATGTGTCAGTTTACTGGCAAATCCTGAAATGCTAAACACTGATAAACTTAAAGAAACTGCATTGCTAAGCAAAATATTGTCCACAAACTGACTGTAATGAGAAATAAAGCGTTAGTTCACCCAATAAAACCAATTTCAGCTCTGGGTAAGCACTGTTTTATCTTTCCTTTTCCCCAGCTTCTTATTTTCCTTTGGACTTTAGGTGAAAGTCCTCTGCACCTCAACTTTGTCCCACCTGCCCCAGCCAGCTTTAGAAGTCTTCACTCTTTGGATATGACAGACAATTGTAAATTACAGTGAAAGCTGCATGAGGCTCAGTGGAGGAGGAGCAAAGTTGTAATACTTCACATGTAGAAAGTGTATTCAGGCTTTCAATGTCTATAGAAGAAAGTCAAATGGCATGATATGTAAATGATCTAATGTGTATGGAGCAGCATTAGCGCAAAAAAATGGGTTAAAGAAGTTAGAATATTTAGTCCAATCGATATGGTGCTCTGCGAATGATTTAGTTTTAGAACTGTACTGCATTATGGCTACTAGATGGAGCTGATAAGTATATGATTTTCCTATGCTCCTTGGCTCTAACTAGCGGCCATAATGCAGTGAGAAACTAAAGCTTAGACATTCGCAGAGCGAACAAAGCTGCAAACTTTTTTCTTTAAATACACCTCATAGTGCTTAAAAGGAGAACTATGAGGTGAGTGGTTTTTACTCACCTCATAGTTCAAGCCGAAGTGTGACAATTAAACTGTCACAAATCAGCTCTATAGATCAGAAGTGAGCGAACGCATAATGTCGCTTGCTCACGTTCAGATCATCTCACTGCACAGAGCTGTGACCGTCAGTCACAGCTCCCTGCAGGGATTCCCCCCCCCCCCCCCGAGGGCCCCCCCCCCCCCCCCTCCCCTCTCCGATCCTCCAGCACTGACTGGCGGAACGGACAGGGGGAGGGCACAGCTGGCTCTGCCTCTAAATAGGCAGAACCCGCTGTCTCTCACGCAGCTGGGTGGATCTCAACACTATTGTCGGGATCCGTCCCGGCTGCGGCGATCTCGGAATATAGTGAGCAATAGCTCGTTATATACTGACCTTTGGGTCACGGGAGGACGTTAGAATATGTCCTCCCATGACCCTTAAGAGAGCAGATAGGTCTTGGTCAATCAGCAGAAGCTCATATACGCTTGACCTTAACAAATAAGGGAACAATGAAATCCTGATGTTCCCAAAAAACACATTTCACCTTTTTCCAGCTAGAGCAGTCAATGAAACATGATTGCTAATACGTTACATTATTACGGCAATTGGCATGGATTTGAATTATTCTAGTCACACTTCCCTCCTCAATATCAAAATGGTGAAAGCCTATCATGGATTTTCAATCTCTTCATCTAGCATATTGAATGCTATGTAGCTGCATGTTTTGAATTCTGGCACTTCATTGTGCTGCCTTTTAAGATTTGCTCCAAACGGTTTCTTTGTCAGGCTTGAGGAAAATACAATCAACCAGCTAGGCCGGTTCCACTCTCCCTTCATGCTCATTTTGTTGCTATGCAACAAGCTTCAGCGAGAACTGCTGTTCTGCCCGTCTTCAATAAGAAGCAAAGGATTATTCTAATGAATGTAGACAACACCTGAACATTGTCGATATGTCATTCTAAATAAAAACGCACAATGACAATGAACACTGTATCTTTTTTCCTCCGTATGGACAGCCAACCATCAATAGTTCCATGTTTACTAAACATTAGTGGCTTCACTTTTCTCAAATGAAAATGACAATTGTAAAGAAATAACCAGGAGCTTAGGCACGTTAATGAAGGCGATGGAAGCATATCGTTCCCCACTGAATTCTTGAAGTCCACAAAAAAATATATCCACTGCATTGTTTTTTAAACCGTTTTTTTTAACAGGTCATTATCTAGGACAGGGCTTCTTAACCAGAGGTATCCTTACCCTATAGTGGTATGGGAACCAAATGATGGCGGTATGAGACTGCATCTCTAAGTGATTAAAATAAAGTTGGTAGATTAGAGTGTAATTATTAGATTATCAACCATCATGATAATCAATATGGATTAATAAAATCACAAACTAATCAGCAATCGCTCAACGACGATATCTGCCTACTTCCCAGTATTGCCAGGTGACTGCACCCTCTGTCCAGCACATACACACACCTATCTTTTTGTGAGTGTCTTTTTTTAGTTTTAGATGTCTTTTTTCCATTTTGCACAGATCCGTACATCCTTGCAAAGGGCCAGATTTATGTGCAAGGGGAAAGTTCCATTCAGCAGTCTGGTAAAATCAGGCTGCGGGTGCATTGATCTTTACGTTCATCCCAACGTTTACTTCTGTACAGGGACTGGACATAGATATATTGCATTTAGAGCTGCACATCTTACATGGAGGCAAAGTTTAAAAAAAAACAACAAAAAAACAAACCCTGGTCTAATAGAGTGACACTGATAATTTTAGATCTGAATTGCTGGGATACTTGGTAATGTGTTTATTGTGAGCATTTATCACATATATTTTTAAGTGATATTATTTCTTATTGAATATACAGTACAGTGTAACACTGGAATATTTACTGTATTTGGTGGCCTGGACTCCCACTCAGACGGGACATTATTATATATGGAATATATTGTGTAATACTGGAATATAAAGTGTATCTTGACACTTGGGCTCCAAGTCAGATGGGAATATCAGACATCCCAACTCTCCCGGACGCTCTGGGAGTCCCCCGCTATTAGATAACGGCTCCCGGCCGCCCGGGAGAGAAACACTTCCTCCCGGAAAAGGTTTACTCTGCTCGATCGAGCAGAGTAAACCTTTCCCTGCGATTGTTTTTCTTTTCCTGACATCGGGAGCCGCGGCCCGCCGTCAGTCAGAAAAAAAAAAAAAAAAGGCATAGGAATGCATAGCTAGATTCATATTGGCTATTGCACTTTGTAATAGCCAATAGAAAACTAGCTAATGCACCCGCCCACTGCTGCTGTCAATCAGCAGAGGGGGACCTTAAGTTTTCGATCAGGTCCTTTTCTGGTGATTGAAAGCAGCAGGGGCGAGTGCAATAGCTAGTTTGCTATTGGCTATTGCAAAGTTAAATAGCCAATAGGAATCTAGCTATGCATTCCTATGCCTTTTTTTTTTATTCTGACGACTGCAACTGGAAGAATACTAAAAAAACAAACAAACAAACAAAAAAACCTGCAGATAGCAAAGAAGCTGTTGCTTCCTGTGCGATCTGCCATCATTTCAGGGGGGTGCTCTTTCCCAGCCGCGGATGTAAATAATTTTATGAATAAGACTTCCTGGTATTTTAACATGGTATTTCCTTATCTATGTTAGGTTTTATGCACCATACCAACACGCTGGGATTTGTGCCCGATGAATATATTGCATATTTATAGATTTCTCCGTGCTGGCACTTTCATATACAAGGTTTTGTAGGAGACGGCAATAAACCCAGAAAGCTCCTACACTTTGCTTGTGTTACTGTATGAGGAAATCTGATACACTCTACACAACAAGCTTGATGCAACAATTCCAGTAGTCTGACCAGTCTAATCTGAAAACTGATTAACCTACCAGCATGTTTTTGGGATTGTGGGAGGAAGCATGAGGGTAACCCTGGGTTCACACCTGACCGTTTTGTAGCGCGTTCTACGCTCGACGAACGCTCTAGAAAACGGTAAAAAAAATAAAATAGCATTGTAGTCAATGCCCTCGTTCCCACCTAGGCGTATTTCCGCCCATTCCTAACGCCCTACAAAACGGCCCACGCCTGAAAAGGTCCCGGGACTACTTTGGGCCGTTTTGTAGGGCGTTTTCCATTGGGATACAGCCAAGTAGCCTTTGGAATCGCGCGAAGGTCGCGCAACTTTTTTACCGCGAATTGCGGTTAAAAAACCGCGAGGCGGTCGCGCAACAGACGCGCTTTTGCAATACGCCTAGGTGTGAACCCAGGCTAAAACTTACAGACTATAGGTAGACAGTTCCCAGTACCCACAGACTGTATATCTGAGGTGTTAATGACCAATGTCTCATTCACACTGCACTGGAAAAACAGGAAAAATAGGATTTTGGTACTCACCGTAAAATCCTTTTCTCTCCGTTCATTGAAGGACACAGGGAACAGATATGCAGCATCCACGTCAAGCAGCTGCGCAGGGTACATTGAAGATCCAGGTGCACAGGTACTGTGGAAGACTGGCGCCCCCGACCGCAGCCGCGGCGCCAGAAGCCTGTGGGGAGCACTGTGACTGGGCGGCCGAGACCCCCAGTCATATGCACCCCCCTGGGACGAACCCATAGGCCACACCGCCAGAGCGGGATAGTCGCAGCCGACCCACCGGAGCGGGCCTGCATGCGATAGTCGGTCGCTCCGGGGAGACTCCAAGGATCCGGGACATCCAGCCTGTCGCCCGGACAATACTTGCTAGAAGATTCCACTGAAAAAGATCAGGAAGATGTAGGTAAGAATACCCGAAAAAAATTCTTAGCTCCTTACTCCTGACTAGAGCTGCAGCTAACGATTATTTTCAAAATCGATTAGTTAGCCGATTATTAAGTTCGATTAATCGGATAAACAATAAAATACATTTTAAAAAATGGCTCCAGTGATGGACTACTAGTTTGTATTGAGATTGTAGTCCATCACAGGAGCAAGCTTGGAGCGGTGGAAGTAAAAAATAAAAATTAAAATAGTGTGGTGTGCAATATAGTGAAATGGAAAGTGTAAAATTATACAGCAATGAATGCAGAATGGCACCGACTACAGAGGACTACAAATCCCAGCAATAGTACATTATAGCTGGTGGTATTCTGCATTGCAGCTGTATAATGCATTATAAGTTGTTGCAGCCCTACTCCTGACGCTAGGCAAAAAACTGGAGACTTGTCAGCAGGTGGGGGGTTTTGGCCACCGGCAGGGGCCGCCCCTAGGCTGTAATTGGTCTTTAGTTTTGTGCCTAGCGTCCTTCTCCTGCAGGTGGCGATATTACCCTACAGTACAGGATCTCCGATCTGTTCCCTGTGTCCTTCAATGAACGGGAGAGAAATGCATTTCTTACAATCAATAATGAGCCATGTTCACTCCAAAGACATTGTACTCCTTAGAAGCCACGTGGCCTATAAAGCAATAAGGATCATTAATATATTTCTATTTTTCCATCTAATCCATCTCCATTCCTTATCTGTAAGAGTGATAGGTTACATGCACTTGTCTTTTGCTGCTATGTAGACTTTATAAACAAACTCATTAGCTCAGTGATGCCCTTTCTCCAGTTCTCTTATCTCACCTAGTCATACCTATATTGATTGCATACAATACAGGGGAGCAGGATTCTTATCGCCAGGCAGGTGGGTTTTTGTTCCTGCATTTAGCCCTGCTGCAGGCAAGCAGGGCTAAATAAAGAGCAGGGGAGCCGGCGCTCGTTTTGAACAAGTGATCTGTGTGGCTGTACACCCTGCGTGTCCATCCCCGCCACCTCACCCCCTCCGGTCTCTTCCCCCCCCCCGCCGCCATGGTTTTCGGGGTATCCCGCCCTTCAGGGGGACCTGGGACCAAAGCAATGATGGGAGCAGAGCGGTGAACGTCGGTTCTCCGGTCTGCGATCAGTGAGACAGGAGATCTTCTGTATTGGAGGGCATGCTTCATAAAGAGAACCTGTCACTTCCAAACATTATTACACAGGTGCGTGACAACTTTATTGCTATCACACAGAGGCTAAGTGGGAAAAAAAATAAAAAGGTGAAGTAAAAAAAAAAAAAAAAAATTAAAACCAACACCATTGCCCCTGCCATCTGCATGTGAATAAATGTACATGTAGGGCATTGTGTGTATATGTGCGCTGAGTGCTGCCCTTATTCCACTATGTGCTATATGGTTATAGCCAGGCAGCAGCATTCTCTAGCACAATGTGCATTAAAGGGTAAGTTCACTTTCCCAAGTAAAAAATGGAATTACCCGGGCAAATCTGACCCCTTAGCCCCGCTATACTTACCTTTCGGCGAACAGTCCTTCACCTCCGTCGGTACGGGTGTATTATCCGTGCCCTCATACTGCCTTCCAGTGCAGCTCTGCGCTATGGATTTTGATTCTCGCTCACAAGTTGCGAGCACTGTTTGGTCAGGTGACTGCGCTGACCAATGAGAAGCACTTATTAGAACGGTTATATACGGTTTTGATAAAAATTGTTTTTTGCCTCACGGCAAGTAGATTGGGCCTCTGCTTTGGTCCCTGGACAAGTAGTTATTTTTTTAAAATTTACACACCCTGCAATGCACTCAGTGATAATCACACATATACTCTGCCAATAGGCTACATATTCGAGTTATAGTCTTGTAAAACAGTTTTCACTCTGAAAACAGAGTTTTAGGAAGAATCCATGGAAACTAGAATACGAAAAATGGAAGCAACCACAGTGTGACAAGATCCGTTTTCCAACCTAGTAACCCGTTTACAGAAACTAGGAAATACCCCATGACAGGAATGTACTTAGAAGCTCATTGCTATACACAAGATACATATTAAAGAGAAATAAAGAACAGTGAGCGTGAACTAAACGCTGATCTTAAGCTTCTTACTTTCTTTTCGTATGGTAAGGTTACACCCTTCAGTAGGATTGATGTACAGGATCTAGGCCTGCTTGCATGGACCCGTGCAAATTTGCACTAGACATGCTCTTGGCTTTCTAATTAGATGGATCACTTGCTGATAGTTTAGTACCTCCAAACGTTTAAAAAAAAAAGACAGAACGGATGGTAAGGATAGACTTTTACCAGGCCAAATGGCCCCCAGGTTATGAGAATATCTACACCCTGCTATTATTTTAAGGATAGTAACAATTTGGTGGCCATTTAAATCCATTATGTAGCCTTAAGAATGCATTGCAGTGAGTATATAACATACCCTCTGCAATACATTATTAAGGCTGTCATTATGATACACTGAAACTCCCCTACAGACAGCAACTAAGGCAACGACAGTGCAGTGAATGACACACACTGACATGCGAGACAGACAAAACCGATCAGAGACTATGACGGAACAAAGACTGACAGACAATGACTGTTATTTGGCACTTTACTTTTAAATCGATGTCATGTTAAAGTCATATTCCTTCTTTCTCTTGTCGGCATAATATCAAGCTATGGTGTTTCTACAAATATCTATATTTGGATTGTATGCATTGAACTGGACTGTGAGAGGGAGTTAACAGCCTACTTCAGAAACTGTGCCCTTTCCCCTACATACCGTCCTAAAGTCTTCTTCAAATTTGTACGCTCCACCTCCTGTGGCACATAGTGTTGTGTGTAAGCTGGAGAAGTTCTTCTCGCTTCCCATCTGAATGAACCTATGCATAGCACAGGTGGGAAAGCGAATAAAGTGCAAATTGCCTTTACGGCCACACATTGTCAGATTTTTCAGTTCCAAATGGACATCTCGGATTCCAGTTTTACCATAGGCTGTATTTGAAGTCAAGTATTTTCTTATGCTTTTCAGGTTTTCAACCTCTTCTTGCTCTTCCTCTGCTGTGATGTCTTTAGGTTCAAAGTAGACCAGTTTAACCAGCGTTCCACCAATATCCATGCCAAACCATGGGAAGGCTGTAAAAAACAAAAAACAAAATCACCATTATACACACATTAAAATACAAGCACACATCTTTATGCTTGAGATATAGCTGCTGCCCTGTCTAGCTATGCCTCATTGTCCCTTTTCTGTAAAATAGGGAAAGATCCTTTTGTTACTTTTACGGGAAATAAATCAGCCAAGAAAACATGGTTGTACTTTACCTCGTCTATATCTAAGCCTCATGAGTCAAGAGAGTTATTTTCTTAGACTCCCCCCCCCCCTATTGACATGTGGCTCCTCAGCAGAAGGAATGTGGACCATTCTTCTTCAGTGCTCGGAGGTTGAAGCTGTTATGTGCCAGCATAGACATCTTATCTTTCAGGATAATATTAATTTTAGGTTAGGGTGTATTCAGTTTAAGTGTTAATAGTTTTGGAGTGAGGCTTCGTTGGCGTGTTACAGGGAGGGTAACAAAACTAATAGAGCAGGTCTATTAGATAGACAGCCCAATAACCAACTGAAGGAGCTCACGGGGCAAGCTGACAATACTGATGCCAACTGCAAGGCAGCAGCTTGGCATTGTCAGCCTGCAACAAAAGGGCTGTTACTGGCAGGATCTCCAGGGAATAAACTTTGCAACAAATTGTGAAAAATTTACAAGAACGTTTTGCTTAAGTAAACTGTGTGCAGTATTAGGCAAAGTGTTAGACTATTGCAGCAAAGATTTCATCATGCTACTAGCCCTAGGTCTAAGTATTTAGATAGGGTAAGGGTTGAATTGATAAGGAACTTTACATAACACAGATAGGTGTTTTTTTTTCTTTTTAATGACCTCTCAGCACCAAAAGTCATGTTCCAAGAATTCAGCACCAATAACTAAATGTGCCGGAAGGAAGGCCATATCTAAAAACTGTGGGACCCCATTTGAAGCCCTAGCTCTTAGAATGTACACCAAACTTTTAGAAGGCAGGGGGACTTATTAATGGGCGTTTACTGACTTACTTATTAGGGTATTCTGCATTTCGGTGTATAATGTACTATTGCTGGGATTTGTAATCATCTATAGCTGGTGCCATTCTGCATTGACTGCTGTATATTTTTATACTTTCCATTTCACTATATTGCACACCACACTTTTTTTTTTTTCTTTTTACTTCCACCGCTCCAAGCTTGCTCCTATGATGGACTACAATCTCAATACAAACTAGTAGTCCATCACTGGAGCCATTTTTTTTCATCCGATTAATTGAACTTAATAAGCGGCTAACTAATCAATTTTGAAAATAATCGTTAGCTGCAGCTCTATTACTTATATTAAGCTATTAAAACAATAAATTGCATACTACATGTACATAACTCTCCCATGTGCAAACAAATCCTTCCTCTTCGTAAGAACACTGGCAATATGATAGACGTGGTCTGTGCTTCGCAGCTGGTACAGGAGCCAACCAGCACAAAGAAATGTTGAACAAGCCCACCCTGCCTTTCAATACCCTGCTAACTTGGCAACTAAAACAAAACTGCCAAGTGTTTTGATGTTATTCTAAATATAGCACTGACGGTATAAATCACCACACGGAGCTGTTCTCTCTCTAAGCTCATGATGAATTATGTTCAAACCATGCACACAGGAATGAAGATGCTGAATGTAAAGCTAAAAGGTGGCCATACAAATCCTGACACTTGTAAAAAATGCAAATGATTTGAGCAAGGCCAGGCAAAGGTTAAAGTGTTTATGTAGTCAAAACATTTTCTGGTTTTGGATAGAATGCTGAAGGATTAGAATTCCCATCGGGTTTTACTGCCATCAGAGGCTCCATTGGAGAAATTCCTCTACTGCAGGTCTGGTGAAAAAAGGTTGTCCCCAAGAGAAGAAGAAGTGAGGGGAAATCTCTCTAACATTAAACACAGGCAGAAGTCATTTTATTTATTTTTTATTATTATTATTATTATTATTATTATTAAGTAGGGGAATGCTGCAACCCCTGTCAGCTTTTTATTGTTTGCCGTTCCACTTCCCTCACTGGTAAAATGTTGTCCCCAGTAAAGCAAAGGGAAATCTCTGTAACTGTACCTCTAGATAGCAGTGAAACCCAACAGGGGTTCTAGTCTTGCCCCATTGTAACCAAAAAATAAAGTTTTGGGTTTAGCTGCACTTTAAAAAAGGAGAACTATGAGGTGAGTGATTTTCACTCAACCTCATAGTTTGAGCCGACGTGCGACAATGAAACTGTCACACGTCAGCTCAATAGATCGAGAAGTGAGTGAACACATACCGTTGCTCGCTCACTTCTCGATCATGTCCCTGTAGAGAGCCGTTACTGTCACTCACGGCTCCCTCCAGGGATTCCCCCCTCCCTGCTCCGATCCTTCAGCGCTGACTGGCAGAACGGACAGAGGAGGTGGTGGGGTACAGCTGGCTCTGCCTCTAGATAGGCAGAGCCAGCTGTCACTCACGCAGCTGGCTGGCTCTCGACAGTAATGTCGAGACCTGTCCCGGCTGCGGCGGTCTCAGTATACCGCAAGCTATAATGAGCTTTTTGTCACGGGAGGACGCTAGTTTGTGTCCTCCCGTGACTATAGGGAAAACACTTACCCCATAGTTATTCTTTAACTTCCATGCAATAATGGGTACGTGGGGGTATCCATGCTTGTTGTGGGACAAAGGCATTTTCTACAATGCGATATAATCTCTGGAATTGTTTATTCATTTTTCTCTTTTCTACAGAGAAACGATAACTAGAATTGTGAAAGTGTGTGTGTAAAACATGCAGTGATATCTGTGATATTAGAGTCATTGGCCCTGTACACACCTTGCCTTCTGTCCGCAGTTCACTTATCGCTGACTATACCAGCTCAGAGCTCATCATGCTGTTTCACGTGTTTTGACATGTAAATGGTACACAATAGTTAACTATGTAACTATGTCATTGCTATGCCTGATGGAGCCCTGTGCGGCCTTGAAAGCGCTTGTGATTTGACATGAGTTTTCAATAAACCCACGATTGATTATCCTTGAAGGAACTCAGTGTGCTGGTGACATTTCTCTTATTGTGTGCAATTGGTGCCGCCATCCGCAGTCATTCCGAGCACCCTTCCCTGATTACGGGTCTTTCCGGTAAGGAGTGCAACAAGACTTTTCCATCATATTCATGACATGTAAATGGGTCCCTAGTACCTGCTCACAAGGAAGCTTTCAATATCACATGCATTTAAGTGCAGCCTTAAAAAAGAAACTCTGGGCAAAAATTATCTTAATCCTTGCAAGGGGGCTACCTCCCCCCCCCCGCAAGGGTTAAGTGCTCATTTTCATCTAGGAGCGAAAGTAACAAATTTATACTTGCTCGAAGCTGGCTGACTGTTAGACCAGTCCCTGCAGCCTCTCTCACCCTCTGCTCCAGCGGTCTAAGGTCCTGTCAGTCATTACGTCCTATACAGTGTGCTGGGCATGAGGATACCAAGGGGCATTCTATTTCTGAAGTAGAGGAGGAGATGGGCTGAAAGGACCGGTCAAGCAGCCAGACGACTCAGAGGTTTAGGCGAGCATACCATTATTTTCCCTCCTAGATGAAAATGAGCACTTAAATCTTTGCAGATCTACTCTTTGCCAAGGCAAGCTTCAGCTGGATACACACTGAGCAAATTTCTGCCAATTCAGATGGAATTAGCCAAAATTAGATACGTTGGTGGCCCTATCCCCAGGACAGAAGTAGATCATAGATTGAATTTTGTTCAGGGGACAGGCTGGGAAATTGTTAGCTGCAAGCACCATGTGGGTATTCTGACAGTGGTCAGCATCGCCATCAGAATACAATGTGCACAGTGGGAGATTTGTTCATCCACCGGTTAGCCTGGATGGAGCAATCTGTCATAGTTCTTGTTCAACCTGCGAGGCTGAACTGTGTGTACCCAGCTTTAGCTGCCATGTGCCAAGAGCAGCCAATAAGATTGCCACCTCTACAGGCTTTTTCCAGCCTGGCTGGTAAAAATAGAACTTATTGCCAATGTTATCAATGGGAAAGAGACCATAACTCTGGTATTCTTATGAAAAAGGTGATAACCTTAATTACCAATGGGGGCAGGGGGATCTGGCAGTCTCTGTAGCATGGCTCACAGGCTTTTGCAAGTCATGCTACAAGTGGGGGATACAAGTCTGATGCAGAAAAGACCTACAAATGCCCATTTTTGTTTTGTGTGGTGTCCAACATACTTGGTGTGAGCGGTCACATAGGCCAGCTGCAACAACATCATCCTACTGTGACTAGTGTGCAGGACTAAACAAAATATTACATTCAAAGACTGAAGGTTTGGGGCATAATTTAATGAGCTCAGCACTAAAAATAGGTCACTGTTCTGCAGCCGGAAAAAAAAAAAAAAAAGGAGGAGGAGAGGAAAACAAGCGTAATCCTTTCCTACGATACAAACTTTGTTCTACACACCTCGCCTCCCTTGCACTCCACAATCACATGGCCAAGCAAGCAGGTGCTATCTGAAAGGGTGATATTTGATCTCTGCTTTAGCCGATAACTATCTAGGGGAAAGGTCTCAAGTATAGAAGACAACTGCGGAAAGAGACACAATATCAGGTACAGCCTAATAAATGGAACGATTATCAGCATTGCCACAAGAAAACACATCTAAAACGTCAAACACAAGAAGTAATATCAAGAGCAAAATAAAAAGACAAAAAGGTTAATCATTAAAACAAGCTGCCCTGCCTTACCTAAACCTTCATGGAAATATACTTGATATTAAACTGCATTTGATATAGTCATATGTTTTACAGGAAGGTGCCACTGCATTTGGGGCAGAGGGACAGCCAATTGCAGGGTCCTCCAATGGATTTATTAGACCATAAACGATGCATGAAAATTAACCTTTACCCACGGCAACTCTTATCTTAATTCTGATAATGTCCTGAAAACATATTTTATTTCTTTAAAGGTTATCAATAGCTCTTATAAAAGAGATAATTGCATGTTGAAGCTTCATTGCTGGATTATGCGGATTCAATAAGGATTCTGGCATCACC